GTAAGATAAAGAAAATACATGTAGTGTTTCCTATTCCAACCTGAAAATTTAGGGTAACTAAAAGTAGAAAAAAACATAATATAAAAATTTTATGTAGTTTTGTGTAAAAAAAACATTGTCAACAGAGGCACAGCCATAGCTAAAATCACATCTATAGATTAAACCAGTGACATCTAGACCTTTTATGCAATAATCATTTAAATGAAACTTAATGATAAAATTTACTTTCAACACAGGTGGTAACTCTTCAACTGAAAAGGCTAAAGACATGAAAGTTTACTTTCAACAAGATATTCAATGGTATCACAGAATATTTTGACCTTAATCTTCAAATGGTCCAGCACGAAATTTAGGCTTTTTGAATAAATACACTTTACGTATATGTGTAATAATACACACTGTTACAATAAAGATTTCAGCAGTAAACATGGTAAGAAAAATAATTTGTTACAGTTATTAGCTCAGTTTCTATGGTTACAGTTTTAGCTATAAATTCATCTGGGGCCAACAAACTTTGTTATTTAGAAATTTATTTTTTCATGACCCCCGTTATTAAATCAAAATTCTATATAGAGGAAAAATCTTTGAAAATCTTCTTCTCATGAACCACTGGGCCAGAAAAGCTGAAACTTATGTGGAAGCATCCTGGTGTAGATGATAAAATTGTTTTTTGTTTTTTCCTTATGATTTGATTTTGTTCTCAAGAACCACTGTGCCAAAAAGTTTTAATATTTGCTCCTGGTATTCAATGTATCACAAATTGAAATAATACTTAAATGGGGAATGTATAAGATATAAAATAAATAAAGTGAAACTTATGTGGAAGCATTCCTGGGTACCAGATTCTATTGTTCAAATCATAAGGGCGGGGCCATCATGGGGAATCAAAGTTTTATATAAAATATATAGGAAAAATTTTGAAAATCTTCTTCTCAAGAACCACTGGGCCAAAAAAGCTTTATATGGTGCAGTAGATTTTAAATTTTCAAATAATAACCCCCAGGGGAAGGGCGGGGCCACAATGTAGATCAAAGTTTTATATAGAAATAATCACTTTCAATAAATACATAAATGTTAACAAGGAATTTATTCATTTATCACTTTCAATAAATATATACATAAATGTTACGAAATATGTGTATGTATGAATATTAATACACACTGTTACAATATCAGAGATTTCAGCAGTAAACATGGTAAAGGGCATCATGGAAACATGTTATTTAAAAATAATTTGTTACAGTTATTTTATGTCTACATTCTGGGTTGTCTTTCCCTGAATAATGCCTTGTTATGACTCACAAAAAAATTTCAAAGTGCGCTGAATGTGTCCAAAATTTCAAATATCAAAGTGCTCACAATGCCTTTCTTCAGTAACATATTCCTGTTATAGATACATCATTAATAATTGTAAATATAGAAATATTCATATTGTGCTTGGGTTAATTATTAAGTAGATGTAAAAGGCTCATGACAGTAAAAGTGATATATCTTTAAGATTTAACACATTGAAATAAACAATATCATAGCTTTGCACAAAAAGATGACATAGGCCAAATTTTTTAAATTTCTCGGTTCACAGATTTCTTTTCTAAAAAATTAGGGTTGATTGAGAGAAAAAAAAATAAAATTAAAATTAGGCTCTTCTGTTTTCATGAATGAAATGCGGTTTCAAGCAAAAAAAAAAAAATAAATAAATAATTAAGAATAAAGAAACATGCTTTCACAGCATTTACTACCTCTTTACAAAATTATTTTTTTCCCACAATTTCTTAAAAAATAGAGTCTGTAGATCCGTAAACCAAAATAATTGAAAAAAAATTGTTCAGAAATTAAGCCTGTGTAGTCTATTAAAAGAAGTACATAAATTTTGATTTTTCTTACATCATCTTGAAAAAAAAAGCAAAATATGAATGTGTTTTGGCAAAACTGATTGACATTTTACTTTTTAAGAATTATTACCTCATATTAATATATAAATAAGTGAAGTAGCCTATTAAAACAAGTTATTTTAAAAAATAACTGGATTCCATCATGCCCCAACTGTACAGGAGGACAGACAGTGTAAAAAAAATTAGGTGATAAATATTCATAATTTTCTAGACCAGTCAAAATACACAATTTAAAATATTTGAATGTAGCAATATATATCAATTGATTGGTATGTATGATAACATTGTTAAAAAGGTGTAGAATTGTTATTTTCCGGTATAATATTTTGTACCTTTGCATCCCAGGGTTCCTCAAGGTTCAGTATTAGGGCATTTGCTATATCTAACTCATCTTCAGCTCAAGTGAGCTTTTCTGATCACATTTTGTCTGAAGTCTGTCTGTCCTTCCGTCTGCTTATAAACTTTTCACATTTTCGACTTCTCAAGAACGGCAATCCAACTTGCCACAAAGCATCCTTGGGTGAAGGGGATTCAAGTTTGTTCAAATGAAGAGCCACACCCTCATTCAAGGGGAAATAATTGGGCGGGGCTACAATGGCCAATCAATGTTTTTATATAGAAATATAAAAATGGACGACCAAAGTCTTACATAGAAATATATGGGAAAATTCTTAAAAAAAAAAAAAATCAACTCAAGAATAGAAAAGCTTTAATTGATCATATTTGTATATGGATAGTGTAGATTAAAGTTTGTTGAAATCATGACCCTCCGGGGGTAGGGGGGATGGCCAATCAAAATTTGACATACAAATATAAAGGAAAATTCTTTAAAAATTTTATTCTCAAGAATAGCAAAGTCATAAATGATTATAATTTTATGGAAGCATCCTCAGGTAGTGTAGAATTAAAATGGCCGATCAAAGTTTTACATAGACATATAATTCTTTAAAAATCAAGAATAGCAAAGTCATATGGTTAGTCATGGGACTACTTTTGGGAATTTAAAAAATGCTTATTTCCTTTATTTAATCAATTGTTCAATCTTTAAAAATGTGTTGACAAGGGCAATAACACCTGTTTGGGTAACTTCATTCAGGCATTTTCTTTATTGTTCTTCTATTAATTTCCCTGATGTTCACAATCCAAAGTATCATCTGATAAGTAGCAAGTATTTTGGAACGTTCAGCATCATAATTATGCATTTTAACTCAGTTTTTACATAATATATGTATGATAGAGTTTTTAAAAAATGTAAAAATTTTATATGTTGACATATGCTTCTGTTAAATTATGTCTCCAATATGGCAACCTATACATTTTTAAAATTGTAAATTCAAACTTTATTATAAAATGAAAATAAATTCAACTTTTTAACTTTTAACCATTAAAATTGTAAGGGTGGAAACAACTTAAACAAAAGATCTTCACAAATAAGAACGGTCTATTCAAAGTTATGAAAAGGGGGTAATTAAACCTTGTATTTTAAACTTTCCTTTAAATACAGATAAAAAATCCATCCAAATTAGTGTACTCCATCAGATATTACATATTAATCTTCAAATGCAATGCAATGCATACAACCGATATTAGCAGGAGATACAGAACTCCGATAAATCAATGTCCAATTGACTTGTTGAATTATTATTTAATTATTTTTATAACATTTCATGTGTAAAATAAATAAACAGTGTTACAGCTAGGATCTGAAAATGGAGGGGTGCAATAGAAGGGCACTTTTTCGCGATATACGGTGATACCGTTGTCGCAAGTTTTTCTTACATCATGTAAATAGGCGTACCTCATTTCTTCACCCTACTAATGAATATATAATTCCTTTAAATATGATTTAATTGTTTAACCTTATTGATATTTAACTTTATAGCTAGTTTATGTAACAATATATAAATTCTAATTGAAAGGTAATTTTAATTAGAATAAATGTGACTTTTCTTCCATCGATTACTGTACTTCAGTCATTTTCTAGTTTTGATCAGAAATAGAATGTAGTACAAATAATAATTTGTGTAAACTATCTAATGTCTCACATTTAATATTACAGTACATGAAGATCTAAATGTACAGTGTTTTATTACTGAATTCAAAATTGCTTAAGTTTGTATTTTGCAAACTACTTGAAATTAAATATATAGTAACAATATTTTTTTAATCATGAATACCATTTTCTTACATATTTTTCACAAACAACAGCAATTTAAAAGCAGGTCATCGTGACCTACTTTTTGAATTTTATGGCTAATCTTTTCTAAAACATTTAATCCCATTATTTCAGACACCGAGAGGTTTAGAATCACAAAATCTTGTAAGTTAATGCATCTTGGGGCCTTAAAACATATTTATCAAAAAGTAGGTCACTTTGCAGGCATTTGTTTCCAAATCATTTAAAACGCATATTTTGAATACTATCATCAAATTTTGTCAGACCCATGATCATCAAACTTTGTTAGTTGATGTATCTTGGGTTTTCATCAAACTTTGTTAGTTGAGATTAATGACCAAAAAGTAGGTCATGGTGACCCACTTTTGACATTTTATGTCTATATTTAAGTATCTCAGGTACTTTTTGGCTTAGAATCATCTAAGCTTTGTCAGTAGATGCATCTTGTGTTTTCAGAGAATGTCGATCAAAAAGTAGGTCACGGTGACCTACTTTTGACATTTTATGGCTATATTTAGATATTTTAGGTACTTATTTGGTTTAGAATCATCAAACTTTCTTATTTGATGCATCTTGGGTTCTCGGAGAAGGATGAAAAAAAATTAGGTCATTGTGACCTATGTGTGACATTTATGGCTATATTTAAGTATTCTAGGGTACTTATTGGCTTATAATGGCTAAACTTTGTCAGTTGTTGCACCTTGGGTTTTTCGATAATGTTGACCAATAAGTAGGTCACTGTGACCCACTTTTGAATATCTCAAGTACTTATTGGCTAAGAATCACCAATCTTTTTCAATTAATGCATCTTGTGTCCTCAGAACATTTCAATCAAAAAGTAGGTCACGATGACCTACTTATAGTATTTTATAGTTTACATTTAAATATCTTCAGCTCTAACTGGCTAAGAATCATCAAACTTTGTCAGTTGTTGCTTCTTAGGTCTTGGATGGATTGTATAGTTTATCAGAAGAGCAATTCAAGGCCCTTGGGCCTCTTGTTGATAGTATTTTATTAGACAGTATTTATAAGCTTTATGATAAAGTGACAGATACTAATTATTTGTGCCTGGATCGATAGATCCTAGGCGTATATTGTTTTTGTTCTGACTGTTTGTTTGTCCGCAAAATTTAACATTCGCCATAACTTTTGAACAATGAAAGGTAGAGACTTATTTGGAATGCATACTTCACTAATTCAGACCTCAAATGACACCAACGTCAATGACCTTGTGACCTTGACTGTGAATTATCTACATGCTAAAAATAGCTTTTTTATCTGCAAACTTACTTTCTTCTCCATGAATTTTGAACCCTGAAAAATAGAGACTTTATGCATACTTCACTAATCAAGTTCTTTCAAATGACACCAAGGTCAATAACCTGGTAACCTTGACTGTGACCTATAGACTAAAAATAACTTTTCAGTACCTTCCCCTTAACCTTTTAACCAAAAAAGATAGAGACTTCATATTTGGTTTGCAAACTTAACTTATCAAGCTCTTTCAAATGACAGCAAGATCAATGACCTTATGACCTTGACTGTGACCTATAGGCTAAACATATCTTTTTTCATACCTTCACCATAACTTTTGAACCATAAGCTGATAAGAGATAGAGACTTCATAGTTGGTGTGCAAACTCCACTTATCAAGTTCTTTCAAAAGACACCAAGATCAATGACCTTGTGACATTCACTGTTACCTTAGGCTAAAAATAGCTTTTTCGAAATTTTGTTGCCACCCGGCTCATAGTGTTTCACAAACACATCTTGTTTTTTTTCTCCATTTCTTTTTGAGAAATCTGTTTAAATAGAATCTACGGGTATTTTGTACTACCTTAATTTTTTTAGGCTGATGCTGGGGAAGAAGATGTCACTGTTCAGATTTCACCCATGAGGTTTTATGTAACTGACGATGCTTTCAAGTACCTCCATGGATTAGATGTGAAGGAATTTGTCGATGAATTCCACCTCCTTCTGAAAAGAAGTCAGCTGAGGACATTAGGTAAGTTTGCTCTAGTATTTAGGAGTAAAAGCTTTAACTGACAGGAAAGGTGTACATGTATAATCAAGTCTCACACATGTATCAGATACATAACAAAAATATAATCTTCTTTACAAAAAAGCATAATATTGAGCATGACTCAATTGATAAAGTGTTAATATCTGTTGATATATAGAATAAATTAAGGGATATGTTTTGTCATAAATGTGCATGAATTCAAATACATTGCACTTTAAAAATTATTAGGATAGTTCATTCAGAGGAGCTATTCTTGATCAACAAGATCATGCACTTCTAATGATTCTTGATATTGGCTCTAGAAATAAGTGTAAATCATTTAGAGGTCCAATGAATAGAAATTTCAGATATTTACTACAGAACCTAGAAAATAATTACAATTGTAATAAATGTATGGCATATTTCAATAACATTTTAAATAAAAAAAAAGTTTATTAAATTTTTTATATTTTACTCTGTGCAATAGTGAACAAAAATTTATACAACCATGCATGAAAGAAATATTGGCCAATCATTAAGATGATAAGGTAGAAAAAAAAATTGGATGATGCGGATTTAATTTTTTCCTCCAATTTTAGGCCCATCAGAGGTTCCAAAAGCAAGGCAAAGAAGCCAGTACAAGCATACCCGTACTTTCTGGGAAGAAGTGGAGGTAAGAACATTGAAATATTCTGAGATTACTTTACCATGTGATACAAAGTTGGTTGTGGGAGAGGGTCATAGTTATCAGAATGCCAATCTGTCTGTCTGTTTTCTGTTTGTACAATATTATAATATATGAAACAAGCAATGTATAAGAATACAAAAGAATTTTAAGAAAGGGTACTGTCAACTTTAGATAAAGGATAGAAATTTTAATTTATGAAGTATGAACATCAAACATTTGTAAAAATGTCTGAAAATTTCAGAATAGAGTGAAAGCCTGTAATTGGTACTCATTTCCTCCTTTACCACTTTATTCAAATGAATGTTACCTTGATATAATCTTTATTGCATAGAACCATCATGAATCTCTTTTATTATGATCAGATAGATATTTGAGGACTGACCCCCCCCCCCCAACAACAACAACAACAAAAAAGATTGGCTTTGCCAATCAATTTAAAGGTGTACTCTGACATTTTGTTAATGTAACTATTTGAAAACCCTGAACAAAATTAAATTTTAGATGCATAATTACAAATTTAAATGCAAAATTTGCAATTTACAGTAACTAAGGTTTTTATTGTGCATTTATGAACTATCATGCTAGATTTTTTATGCATGAAATAATGTACATTGTACATGTATATGCTAGTTGATTGTAGTGTATAAATACTATAGCCTACCACTCGTAAAAGCTAAAAGCAGGTGACACATGTATTCCTTTGAAGTCTCTAGTTTATAATTACACAAACATGATATTTTTTGTATGAATGCAGAATTGGTCAATAATTCTTATATCTTTATTCAGCTTCTTAGAAATCTCCATCCAGAGAAGGGGTTGCTGGGAGAAGATGAAATGCTCAACACAGCAGCTAAAGAATGGAGACGGCAGGCAGAGTCTGCTTTGAATGTTCAGGAAGTATGTGACATGTTAGATTTTTTATGTTTTTTCTTGGTGATAAAAAGTGTAATATTAGGTATCAGTCATCTTTAATGAAATGGAATCAATAAACTGAATAGGTAAATTCATAAGTGTTTTTTTCTTAGTGATAAAAGGTGTAATATAAGCTATCAGTCTAGCAATAACTCTTCTTTAATAATATGGAATCAATAAACTGAATTTGTAAAGAATTCTTCTGTGGTGATATTATCTGTTAATATCATTTTAAATCTATCCTAAGGGTCATCTTGGAGGTCTGCTGAAGGAGGCAATTGCAGTTGCGTGTCTCAGCCAGCGCTGTTTTCTTTGGGCCGAGTCTGTGACCAAGGCTTATGCTTCCTGGAAGCTGAAGAACCAGAGCAACAATAAAGTTAACCGTATGCTGTTCGTGCAACTCCCAGGTCTACGAGACGAAGAGATGGTGTTCCACCTGCTACAGTCGTTCAGGAGTGGGGAGCTGAACAAACTGGAGTTTAATGAGAAGTTGAAGGAAGCAAAGGTGAGTGAATATTTTTTTTCAGTAAAAAATTGTTGCTTCGTAAGAGCTTTCACTTTATAAAATACCTTGAAAGAGTGAAGCCATTTCTAATTTTGTGAATTGAGCAAATACAACGAAAGTGTATTTCAATGTATATTTGTTTAATGGACTTTTGGGCTTTAATACTGTCCATGCATATATTTAATCATATAATTACCAGAATAATACAAAAATGTATCATGATTACAAAGACTCGGTATGAATGTGACTTTTCTTAAATCTATTAACAGGTAGCAGCAAGCAGAGGGAAAAAAAGACAGTTGCCAGCATTAAATGACTCAGAGGTATTTTTAATGAAGAATTTTTTTTTTTTCAAATTATATATATATCATGGTTAATAAATAAAATATAAATATGTTTTCCAATTTTTAAAGAAATTGCAAAAAGTAGTTTAATTGATAAAGGGAGTTCTTGTTATGAATTATTGTGATTAATTGATTGATTTTAAAAGTATATTATGATTAATAAATAAAATATAAATATATTTTATCTAATTTTAAAGACGGACTCTGGAAGTTTGAAAAGAAGAAATGCCCTTCTTGAAGCCCGGATCGTGACCCTCCAAAGAGAGATGGCAGATCTTAGAGACAAACTGGTAGGTGGTTTTTGAAGCCACTTATTAAGATTGTAACAATAGTTTCTACATTTTCATTTTGTAAATAAACATCAGTGGTATTCTACCTAAATATTTGAATATGAAATAAATTGCTTTGAAAAGTAAGATATACTACTATGTAGATATATTATTAATAAATTTGTGTGAAATTTAATATTTTTTTTAAAAAAAATGTTTCAGAGAACACCCGAGACACCTGCAACGGATGTTTATGTAAGTACAGCTAGTAATAATCTCAGAATTCTTGTATAAATGAGTGAGAGTTTCAGTTAAGTCTATGCAATCTGATAGAGGTCATTCAAATATGACATCACATCGAGGAATGAGTTAACTATGTGCACTATTCTTTGATTTATATGTAATAACAAGAGGTCAACATATAAAGTTGTAAAAAAAACTACGTGTGTGCTTTTTGTGAACATGATTTGTATTTTTTTAATTTTTTCTTTTTTATTTTAACAGACCTTTCACGGAAGTGATGATGAAGATGCTTCGCTTCCATCAGTGACCCCACCAAGAAGTGTAAGTTGATTTTCCATTATAATCAACATATTGCTTGATTGATTCTTTACGCCAAAATATTATAAAAGATTGGGTTTAAATAACTAAAACTTTAGATAGACTAAGTATTTTTGGGGATATGCTGATAGCCATGATTTCTTTATTATGTTAACATGCCAAACTCTGTAATGATGTTTTTCCTTTTTTTATTTATCATATCTATAGGAAGATGAAGAAGAGGCCCTCCAGACAAATGAGGTATGGATTTTGAAAATAATTTCTTAAATCATAATTGATTTCATTTTTCCTCAAAATACAATACTGGAACTATTGCCGTTTACAATTACATGTATTAGCAACTTCAAAAGAATCTATAGATTGTGTAATCATTTCTTTTATCAAATAGTAGAATAAATATCTACAATGTATAAAAAAAATAGTAGGATAGATATGTATAAAAGAAGGAAATTGATTATTTCTTTTTTTTAATTTTATTAATCATACATGAACTTTAGTAGGAAAATAAAATCTGAATATTCACATTTTGTTGCAGACTGATTCTGAGGAAGAACCTTTGTCAGATGACAGTATATCTCTTCTGTTACCGACCATCACTTACTCACGGTAAGAAATCAAGTAAATGTTTAAACAAATATACGATTTCTTTATGCAATTTAATTAAGTCTTAAAGAAAGATAAAATATCATTTGAATTATTTGTTTATGTAATGTAATTAAGTCTTAAAGAAAGATAAAATATCATTTCTTTCATTTGTTTTTACTACACAAAGTAATAATTCTCCTTTAATGCTTGAGTCGTTTACTCTTTACAGGAATATTGGGAAGAGGGTGTGCCAAGAAGAAACAGAACACAGAAACGTATGTGATTTTTTTGTTACGTACAATATACAAATATTTGTGGTGCATTGCTTTTATAAGTTGAATAGAAAACGTTATCATATTACCTAAACTGATAAAAGGTTTTATGATGAAAATTTGTTCCATTAAATGAGGTTATAAAATGAAAATAAATGATTGAAGAACTTGGAAGTATTTGAAATGTAATCTTTTTTGTTTAAAAATTCATTAAAAATGCATTATTCTTTTTAAGGGTCCCGAAGAAAACGGCTCAAAGACGGATGAGTCAAATGAGGTATATATTTCACTGATCATTGAAAATTTCATTGCATCTTATACCTAGTTGACTAAAGAAATGCAGATAATCAACTGGGATATTATTAAAAAAAATTATGGAGAACAATTTGTTGAAACTTTTATGAAAATCACTATGCATTCAAGATATCAAAGATAAATAAGCAAAACTAGTACTCTTCCTTTTTATTTGCAGTTTAGTACATGATTTTCTTGGTCTTTTTTCAGAGAGTTCTCCTGGATACCCTCTCCAGATTGGACGAACGGCAGGGAGAAGTAAGTAAAGTTTACTGAAAACTTTTATCTGCGTTGAAGGAACAAAGGAGATAAACAAAGCAATAACTGATATCTTGAAGGGCATTAAAGTTATAAGTATTTACCAAACAGTTTCAACTTTGAATTACAGGAATGTCAGCATGTTGAGGAAGAAGAAGGCGCTGGAGGAAGGTTTTTCACCGACGATGAGGTAAACACACTCAGAATAAAAAGCAAGGCTTGCACTTTTTCTAAATTTGGTTTAAAGGGGTAAAACACAATGCAATAATAATGTGACATCACAGTATGTGTATGTATTTTTTATTTCTCCAATGATATCAAACAATAATTTCTGTGAAACGATTAATTTTTCATAAACAGTTCTCAGACGTTTTGAAATTCCATTTGTATTTTGCTATACTAAAACTGGTATAATTGTCATTGTAGTTCTCTAATCTGCAGCCAGCATTACCAGTTTGGGCCCAAGATGATGGGGAATGGTAAAGACTTTCACCTCTTTAGCTTACCTGATTGATTATTTATGTTACGTAGTACAAATGTGCAAACAATTTCTAATATAACTATTTCATGAAATTATCAAAATTTGATTCATATTGCAATGTTGTATGAATGTGCAAATAATTTCTTGTAAAAGTACCTATCAAACTGATTTTTTTTTTTTTTTACATATTATGAACATATCAATTTTTTAACTTATTGTTTCCATTCCAAAGGTTCAAGGCCAAAGTTGTGAAGAGTGGTAGCAAGGGGGTGAAAGTCCACTACATTGGATATGGCAAACAACATGAAAAGACCCTCGGGAAGACAGAAGTCAAGACATACCGCTTTGTAAGTAATTTATTCATCATTGAAATTCAAGCGCATTTCCATTTTACTCATGCGAGAAGAATCAAATCATTACTATTTAATATTTAAAATGAACTTTCCTGTTCAATATTTTGTTTGGTGTCTCACATTCTGTTCAATTGTAAACATACTTTTAGTACTGGGCCACAAAAGCTGGTAAAAATTTAATCAGAATTTTTAAATAATTTCAAAGAAAAAAGACATAATGAGTCTCTCAGGAGAAGCAGGACTAATTAGTTACAAAAGAGAGGGAAAAGTCTTAAGGGTCTCTATGAAATACATCTAAATAAGAATAATTGATATGAAAGAGGAAATACTGTAATTTAATATCAATTATTTAATTATTCAACGTACTAAAGAAATGTATCATGATGATATTCATTTTTGATTTCAGTCGGTTGGAGAACGAGTCAGGGCCAGGTGGGAAGATGGCCACCTGTACCGGGGGACCGTGAAGAGATCGAAAGAAAAAGGTATCCCTTTTATTACACTTTTTGTAGTTGAAGGTATTTCCATATATTTGCTATATTTTTATGCCCCCGGATCGGGGGTATATTGTTTTTGTCCTGTCTGTCTGTCTATCTGTTTGTTTGTTTGTTTGTCCCCCAACATTAACCTAGCCCATAACTATTGAGTGGTTGGGGCTATGGCTTTCATAATTCATAGGTGTGTTACATGTGACATGACCTTTCTTTGGGTACCACCAAATTTGACCTCCTGACCTTGACCTTGGAGATTGACCTACTTTTACAAAAAAATACCAGTTTAACTTTGGTTTAACTTTGGCCATAACTTTTAAACAGTTGAAGCTAGGGCTTTCATCCTTCACATGTATATTTATTTTGACAAGATCTTTCACGGTAGAAATATATTTGACCTTGACATAAGAGTTTGACCCACTTCTTAAAAACATTAACCTTGGTCATAACTTTTGGAACATTTAAAAGTAGGGCTTTTATATTTCACAGGTGTAATTCTTGTAAGACCTTTCTTTGGTTACCACCATATTTGACCTCTTGACCTACTTTTACAAAAAAAAATACCAGACTAACCCAATCAATAATTGTGTTACCACAGGGGGCATAGTGTTTCACAAACACATCTTGTTTCATCTTTAATTTTCTATTACATATTTTACAGTGTACACCATCCTCTTTGATGATGGAGTGACCTGGGACACAGAGGATGTGACCTTTTAAGGATCTCTGAAGGTAAAAAAAAATTCAAATGTAATTTAAATTAACATATATTAAAATAAAACATCCATCCTGGATTTTAAGGCCATATAATTTCTATCAATCAGACCATTACAAGAGTATATATCTACCAGAATTTAAAACCATTATTCTTAATGATAGCATAATTTTTTTAAAACAAATTAAAAAGAAGAAACCTGTAACTGTATATGGAATTTAATATTTTCAGATTTAACATACCCAGGAGCTTCTCAACTCCTTACAAAGCCACACCTGTGCCTGAATGTTTGCTGCTTTGATAAAAACTTTTCTGTTATTTATTTTTAATGGATGTATTTATTTATATGATATGGAAAAACTGTGATTAAAACTTTATATGATATTCTTTTGGGGTTTTATTTAAAAATCTGATGACTTCAAATTGTAAAGGTATCATTAAAAGAGCTGAATCTGGACTAAAAGATGCAATATTTGCACTTTAGATTTATTGACACTTTGATTCAATGCAAAAAAAAAAAAAAAAAAAAAAGTAAAATTACCATCGGGTTCGAAATGTCAAAAAAATAAAACCCACCAAACCACAACATTGGGGGCCAAGGCAAAGTAAAAGAATTATGAACTTAAAAAAGTCAGCTACTGATCTAAAGTCGTTGTTTGATTCAAATACATTATAATTAATGATGAAGGGCTGTTGCCTCTTGGAGCATAGAGCAGAAAATTTGAGTAAAGGTGAATTCTGACTTGATAACGTTTTTTTTTTTTTACTTGAACAGTATCTGGCCATCATTTATTTTAGACATAATTTTATTTTTCCACCATAATGTTTCATTGAAAATGCATTTTTCTAAAACATTTTTTTATCATTTGATGTTCATTTATTGACTTATATTTTGACTTATCTTAAATGGTTTTTTTTTTCTGATATGACATGTAGCTCAAGTGTGAAATAGGAAAATTGAGACTCTATAAACTCATGAAAGTACTAGAAACATGAGTCAGAAATCAAAATAATTTTAGGTAAGGATTTTTTGTATTCACAATTTCATAATTTTTTCGCAACACCTTATGGATCATTAGACAACAATTTAAAAATTTTCTGCATGATTCACTAAAAAACATGGAAATTGAAATTAAATTTTTAACAGAAAAATGGATTTCACTGAAATTTATAGTGTAAAAATGCAATTATGACTCACTTATGGCCAGATACTGTAGGTAAAGCATAATTATGTTAAATGAAACCTTGAAGAACAATGTTGTTTGGAACAAATTTGGGAAAGTTTCGTTTAAAAACTTTGTGTGTTTTCATTTACTCTAAAAGGAAAAAAAAATTGACTTTATCCCACATTCAAGTACTGGTGGGAGAAAATATCCTATACAGTAGAATGTATGGGATAAATCCTATGCTTGGCAGTATGTGGGAGAAAATATCCCACTGATGAGTGTTCGTGGGATTTATCCCATGATTACAATTCCATGGGAGAAAAAATCTCAGATGGGAGAAAAAATCTCAGATGGGAGAAAAAATCTCCCCATCTGAGATTTTTTCTCCCATCTGAGATTTTTTCTCCCATGGGATAATGGTGGGATAATTGGTGGGACTGAAAATCCCACCATTCTCCCATGGGATTTTGATATTTGGGACTTAATATTTCTCAAACTAGATAAGCTTGTTAGTTCAACATGAGATTATGTGCTACTGCTAGAAAATCCCACCAAGTAATATTAATGTTTTTTTGATATCGGTAGTAAAAAGTCCGGAGTTAGTTAAATGTCGCACTGTTTAGTATATGCAATTGGAAATGGTAGTAAAATTCTTTTGAAATATATTTATGGGAAGGCAAGAAATATCGACTGGTATCTTATATTTTACAAATGAAGATGCTGCTGGAAAATTAAGAATGCTGGAGGATACTGACTTATTTCCCCTAAACTTGTTGCAGTTAAAAGAAAAAATAAATAGCAAAAGAAAACGAAGTTTATTTGTTTTAGATACAGGTGACGGTATACACTGTAACAGCACAATATAGGGTAATATTTGGAAACTATATATCTTCTTCCAATTTTCCATTAAATGAAGTGTAAATTAGTCACAAAGTGAATAATATACATTTATTGACTGGGTTCGGGGGCAACATGCGTTTTGTCGGACCCAAGAACCAAACTGTCTGTCCAAGGCCATTAGGCCGAAGACAGACAGTTTGGTTCGAGGGTCCGACGAAACGCATTTTGCCTGAGAACTCTGTCAATAAATATTTTGTTAATCATTTCATTTTATTTTTTGACATACATGTATTTTGTACTGTATTCCGTGATGTAACATCAGGTCCTTAACTGTTTAACACCAACGAATGAAAATAAGATTAACTCTTTACAACTTATTGAATTGTTTAGCAACATACACCGAATCCTCGCGTCATAGATATATTACGTTACCATTTCCCCGCAAGCACTTTACAGCGGGGTACAAGTTTCTCTAAAGTTTAGCGTAAATCATATTATGACGTAATATTTTAATTAGAAAATAACTTTTCTTATTTTATGAGATTTAAGCAAGTATAAAATAGTTGGAATTTGGCAATAAATTGAAGATTAAATGAACTTTTTATAGTGCGTGAAAATGCGTGATTGCGGGGAAACGGTAAATGCGTGATTTTGCGTTAGAAATAGGAAACGGTATATGCGTTAAAATGCGTTACTGCGGGGGAGGGGGTTAAGCCCTGCGCATTCTGTGACGTAAGCATTCCAACATCTCCCCGAGCGGTCCAACATCTCACTCAGCGGTCCATCATCGATGTTTTTACGCCTGCTCAGTAAAACATTAAAAATGTTTGACTTTTTTCGTATAGATTTATATAGGAATAAATTTTTAAAGGTATAACAAGTCAAGTTGTCTGTGTTTTAAATAGGGAATCCTCATTGCTTAAAAAAATCGCCTCCTTGTAACATACATTTTCTTCAAAACTAACCTTTTCGATTTTTGTTTCAAAGAGGCATATTTTTGAAAATCACAAGAATTAAATAAAAATCATTATCCGTGCAAAATGCAACATGTGTGCATTAAAATACGATTGTGACAATAGTGTCAGAAATGGTCAAGTGGTAAGGCGGTTGTACTCATTCATTCTGTTACCTGAATGACTGGTATACATTTTTCGCCATAAAATAGAAGTATGTGTTTAATGTAATATCTCTTGAAAGAGAAAGAGAGAGAGGAAGAGATGCCAAAAGGATAATGGGTAATATCTAAAAATGCATGTATTGCAGAATTAAATTGTTAAGACAAATAAGACATATTTTTATTTATTCAGTGGCGATGTCTTACAAAATAAGGAATCAATTTAAACATTTTTTTATATTAATTTTGTTTTATTTCAGTTCGGTTAATTATTCTGATCTGAATTGAAATGACTAAGGGGACGATCATTTGATTCTAAGAGGGTGCCTGGCACATTTTTCGAGTCGGATTATTTATTTTTATGTCGGTGCAGGACAGTTTATTTATTTCCAACAAGATCGAGGACAGATTACTTATTTTCTTCTTCACTGGAAAAAAATCTAAGTATTTAATCAAATAAAAAAGAAAGATAAAAAAGGAAAACAACAGTCTAAAACCTCTAATTCGTGGAGTGGGGAAGGGGGTTAGGGGGTGTAAAAGCACTGGTCTGGGACGAATTTTTTTTCCTAAGTCCAGAACAGATTTTTTTTTTTTCGACATTTTCGAGGATAGATTTCTTTCGAAAATCACCCCCACCTCCATCACAATCAAATGGCCGTCCCTTAAATTGAAATGTCTAAATGAACTTTCTTGAATTTTGCATCAACAGTCAGTTAGCATTTGAGTTAATTAATGATAAATTGTATTTTGTGACACGGTCATTGTATCACCACAGAACTTATGAAATATGACGACTTTTAACGAGAATGCTGAAATTCTTGTTTCACCAACTTTTTCGTCGATTGATAAATTACCTTGTTTTAGAAATTATTCATATGTAGATAATGTTAGAGATACAAAATCTGGTGCAGGTGACATTTAAGGTACATGTATATTGCTGCATAAGTAAGGGAAGTTGACGATTGAAAAGTTGGTCATTTCGTTTATCATAAAGCTTACAAGTTCTATACACAGAGATTCTATGTATAGAAAATACATTGTAAGTCCCCAAACTTGTACCCTGTGTATTAGGTCCTCAGTTTACATATATACCTTATCTTGTGTGTAAGAAGTCCCCAAACTTAGTTCCATGTGTATTAGGTCCTCAGTTTATATATATACCTTATCTTATGTGTAAGTCCCCAAACTTGTACCCTGTGTATTAGGTCCTCAGTTTACATATATACCTTATCTTGTGTGTAAGAAGTCCCCAAACTTGTACCCTGTGTATTAGGTCCTCAGTTTACATATATACCTTATCTTGTGTGTAAGTCCCCAAACTTGTACCCTGTGTATTAAGTCCTCAGTTTATATATATACCTTATCTTGTGTGTAAGTCCCCAAACTTAGTTCCCTGTGTATTAGGTCCTCAGTTTACATATATACCTTATCTTGTGTGTAAGAAGTCCCCAAACTTAGTTCCCTGTGTATTAGGTCCTCAGTTTATATATATACCTTATCTTGTGTGTAAGAAGTCCCCAAACTTGTACCCTGTGTATTAGGTCCTCAGTTTACATATAGACCTTATCTTGTGTGTAAGTCCCCAAACTTGTACCCTGTGTATTAGGTCCTCAGTTTATATATATACATTATCTTGTGTGTAAGAAGTCCCCAAACTTGTACCCTGTGTATTAGGTCCTCAGTTTATATATATATACCTTATCTTGTGTGTAAGTCCCCAAACTTAGTTCCATGTGTAATAGGTCCTCAGTTTATATATATACCTTATCTTGTGTGTAAGTCCCCAAACTTAGTTCCATGTGTATTAGGTCCTCAGTTTACATATATACCTTATCTTGTGTGTAAGAAGTCCCCAAACTTGTACCCTGTGTATTAGGTCCTCAGTTTACATATATACCTTATCTTGTGTGTAAGTCCCCAAACTTGTACCCTGTGTATTAGGTCCTCAGTTTATATATATATACATTATCTTGTGTGTAAGAAGTCCCCAAACTTGTACCCTGTGTATTAGGTCCTCAGTTTACATATATACCTTATCTTGTGTGTAAGTCCCCAAACTTGTACCCTGTGTATTAGGTCCTCAGTTTATATATATACCTTATCTTGTGTGTAAGTCCCTTAACTTGTACCCTGTGTATTCATGTCGAATCATGTCGAACAAAATTGCTGCGTTTGCTCTCAAGAACATCTTTTGGTAATAGTACTATTGTGGCAAGGCCGTTACTAGGCTTAAATTTTTAGTGAGGCAAGGGATCT